TTTTAAAATTCAGTATTGATTTATTTGGGAAAGCAAAAGAATGTTAAATAATCTATCAACTTTAATATTACTGTCTTGTTATTTTGGATTGGGAAAAGATCTGACCTGAATACAGCAGGACAGCATTAGTCCTATTTATTTCTCTCTTTCCCTTGAAATGTGACTTTTTCTTTCACATACATGTGTTCTTATCACATTGAAGCTGGTGTTCAGGTTTATAGATATAAAAAACATGCACTAAAATGAATATTGCACAATAAATATCGATTGATCTGGTTAATGGTGGTATGTTCTGGACTCTACCACCTGACACTTGGTAGAAACAGGGAAGTTTCTGACTGAGGGGATTGTTCATTTGAATTCAGCAGTCTGGCTTTTAAAAAGGATTTCACGTACTGCATATATTAGTTTATCTAAGAGTGTAAGGCATTTTCACACTTTCTCTGACATTCTCTTTTTTCCCCCTTTGGCAAGTACAGCAATGAAGGTTGACTTTAAATGTTTTGAATCTCCAGAGTAATGTGTCTGAATCACACAAGACACACTAGTTTTGGAACGTAGCACTGTACATCTGTAAAAAAGTACAGGCAGTGACCGGCCAATGCAAATGTGCCACTGGATCACCACTAGTCCAAAGGGGAGACCACCATTCTATGAGAATAGGGAGCAGATTAAGTGGGATTAAGTGACAAATGCTCCATCTTCTTTTCCCTGTCCCTGGCCAGTGCAGACCAGATTGAAAATAACTTAATTCACAAGGTTCAGTTCAGAGATTCTGGAATAAATATGCTCAGTGGGGCTGCTGCGAACTGTCCTAAGAAATTGATTATAATTCAGACAATTTTTATTTTTCTTTATTGTAATTTGGAGTGGTTAATAGCCACTGCTTTAACTCTCAATATAAAAAGATTAAAGTTGCTATGGTGAATTCACTGTTTTAACAACAAAAAAAAATCAGTTTTACTTTCTATTATACATGCTTTGGAAAAAAATACCTCTTGTTATAGATGTTATAAAAAGATTACATAAGTGCAGATTTATATATTGAATAGTAGAGTGTGTAAAACTTGAGCTCTGATGCAATCATTGCTTTCTATTATTTCAATCTCCTGGAATCAATGAGAGCCACACGTGGTCTTGGGTTCGCAGTTCTATGTTAACCTAGAGCTAGGCTCAAAACTTTATGTAACAATAATAAAGCTACAGAAAATTTTCAGTTTTACAGCAATTTCCATTTTGAAAATGCATTCCCAGTTTTCGTTTCATTTGAGACAACAGATCTTTATTGAGCATAGACCAAGTGCTAGGCAGCAAGGTAGGGCTGCTGTTACCATTCCCATCTGAGAAACCAAATTCTCACAGATATTAATGACAATGTCCAGGATTATACAACTACCAAGTGGTGAAGCCAGGAACTGACCCAGCACTCCTGGTTGAGAGGTGGCATAGGGTTGAGACTGAAGCATAAACTCTGCAGGCAAGCTGCACTGGGTTAGACACCAGGGCTGGCTTATTCCAGCTGTTTCACCTTAAGTAAGTTACTTAACCTTTCTGTGTTATGATTTTCTGTGAGGAGATTAAAAGTCTTCACAAAATTATAACCTGGTAGATAGTAAGAACCATTTGTTATTATTATGTGGTATGTAATCCAGCATTGTTTTCAATATTATGCTGCCTCTCTCTCTACATAGCTTAGCAGACTATCTCTTCTTTTCTTCCTGGAATTTTTCTGGATTTTGTCACTCTCAGTTTCATTCGCTAAGCCCCATTCACTTGTCTTTCAGCCTGACTACAACAGTTCATTTGAAATATCAGGGCTTTTAATAACCACCCCAAGTTTTATACTCTGGTTTTCTTGAAAAGAAAGAAATGAAGCTGAGGAACATAATTATCTATGAAAAACTCTTTGAAGAAAAGTCTAGTTAAGTTTTTATAAAATATTATTGCAAGAAAATATTTTAAGAACAAATGGGAGGATCTCATTATTTTTTCCTACATTCATATGAGTATTAGTGGAATTTGTAGTTTCTGAAAGACCAATGCTTCCTATAATCACTCTAAGATTATCTGGTAGATTATCCAACATGTTTAACCATTAAACCTCTCCCAGGAATTCTTTATTAAAATGCCTCAATTAATATAAGCCCATTCTAAATCTACTGTTTTTTTTTTTTAAAAAAATAGTCTTGGAAGAAGACACTTTTTTTTATACTGAAAACTTACAACATTGAATACCTGAATATTTGCTAACAATATATACTGTTATAATTTAAATTCCCTTAAAGTACAGTAGAGGGGTTTACTTAATCCATGAGATAAAAACTGGAAGCAAAACTGAGACTTGCTTCTTGTTAAGCATATTTTGATTTGTTGGACCAAAGGCAAATTAATGATTGCACTTTATTGTGAATTTATTTTCATTTTACAGAGTTTAAACATCTTCCAGAACCTAAACAAGCGTCAGTATGAAACAGTTATTCATTTGTTTGAGGTTGCAATAATAGCAACTGACCTGGCTTTGTATTTCAAGTAAGTACACACCCACACCTGTACCACAGATTGCTCTTAAATGCTGTGTGGTTCTGCAGCGTTTAAAGGAATTATCTGCTGCACTTAAAGGTAAGATGAATTTTTTCACATGCATGCATGCAAATTTGTTTATTTTTCTTTTGGAATGTCAATTAGAATATCCTCAAAACAGGTGCCTGATAGAGAATTTACTAGAAACTTGGAAGTATGTTTTAAGAACTTACACTCCCCCCACCATGTTAATTGCTTGTTATCTGAAGAAGTTTGAACTAAAGAATATGCTGTGAAGTTTGCAGGTTGCCAGCACAGGGATGTCAACCTCATGAGGTGGCCTTTTGTCTTGGTGAATTCACCACGGTCCAGAATCTGGTGTTTCCAGCTCAGAAATTTGATCCTTTCAGAGTCTAGCTGCTGAACAGTCTTAGTGATTGTGGCACACAGGAGCCAACCTCACAAAATTGAGTTATAGGCAGCAGAGGGCCAACCAGTATGTAACAATGACATTACCAAGGAGACCAGATACCCTAAGCATCTACACAGTTTCTCATAAGTGAAATATGAAGTTGTTAGTGAACACTGTTGATAACAGTGAGTCAGTTATGGGATCCATATATTCAATTTTGCCTTTCTGATCCTTCTTAATTAAAAATTTAACTATTAAATAGTTCAGACTTGAAAATAAATTCTTAATATATTCTTAAATATAAATGTTCACAACCCAAATTCAACCAAGTTTCTTTTTGCCATATTTGCCTCTGATCTCATTTTTCAAAGAGGAAAAAGAATATTAGGGATGCAATGGAGATGATTTCCAATTTTTCACCATTGCCTACAATGCTGTATATCCTTATGCATATATGAGACCTTCTCTAAAATACATGCTCAGCAGTGGTAATGCTTAAGGTTTGCCTATGTTCAATGCTGTGCCACTTTGCAAAGCTGTACTCTTGAGCAGTCGGGCTGATTGATGTTCCCAGTAGCAGTGTACAAGAGTTCCTGCAATCCATATCCAGAACACTCTGGATCTGTGCACACTTGAATTTTATTTTGTTAATCTATTGAGTGTGAGATGATATTTTACTGTTTAATTTTGTATTTCCTTGTTACCAATGAGTCCTAGCATCTATGTGCTTGGGGTTCTGATTTTTTGTTGGCTCTGTCTTGTGATACCTTATCACAGTCTGTGCCCTCTCTGTTATGGTCTCTGTTCCCATTTGTAACTTTTAGTTTTAATGTATTCAGTGTTACCTGGTTTTCCCCCCCTTTTTTGATTTGTGCTTTTTCCCTTAAGCCCTTTCTATGACAAAATTAGGCAGCCATTGCCTGTTCCCTTATCCCTTGGCCTCTTGACTTCTGCTATGTGGATATCCCGATGCAAAGTGGGAACGTGAACTATGAGAAACACATTTGAGACACCTTTTGCTCTGCCTTTATGTGGTAAAATTATTTTCTAGGAAGAGAACCATGTTTCAAAAGATTGTGGATGCCTGTGAGCAAATGCAAACTGAGGAGGAGGCCATCAAGTATGTAACCATTGACCCAACCAAGAAGGAGATCATTATGTGAGTGGTCAGAATGGTATTTTCCTTTGGGGGGAAAAGTAGTTTGTGTCTTTTTCTATTTAACAATTTTTCTTTTCTTCCTAAGGGCAATGATGATGACAGCATGTGACCTGTCAGCTATCACCAAGCCCTGGGAGGTGCAAAGCCAGGCAAGTCCAGTTGCACTATGGCTCTTGTTGCTCTAGGGTGTGTGTGTGTGTGTGTGTGTGTGTGTGTTTTCACTGCTCACACTCAGGTGCAGTCTAGATCCCATGTAAAAGTCCACATGAAGATATCTTGCAACCCAAGAATTCTATTCTGACAAATTATAAATATCAGTATGTCAACAGATGCCTAGATCAGGCCCCAGGATAAGGCAAATGGAGGAAACTTTGGAAAGAAACTGCTTCTTTAATAATTCCTTATCATTGAACAGGTTGTAAAAAACTTTTGTAAACTTATTCAGAGGAGGTCTGAGTTTTTAGTTGAGGAGAAAAGTGAGAACAATACCAGGGTGAATCATTCAAGCTGTCTGCTGCTAAGGGTGGTTTTGCTCTTACAACCTCTTCTTCGATGTGCTGTCAGTTATCCAAAGGGCACTAGTTGAGGTGCTGGTTTAAGGTTGTTGTTGCCCATGTGTGGAGTGAGAGGTATGGAGGCATCAGTTGACTACTTACTAATTGGATGGAAGAAACTTCTTTTCCTTCAGTTGCTTCTAGGAAAAAAACTCAAGCAGAAGAAAGGCCAGAATGACCTGGTTCAACTATAGATGTGGATTCTACCTGTAGAGTAATTTATGTTTTATGTTTTTCCTCATGGGAGGGAGGAAAAATCTGTTCCTTACTCATCCTAAGTTAATGGCTGAGGTCCCTGTAGCAAAAGACAGATTAACAAAAGAATATAGATGTATTTAAGTGTGACATAGAGGCTTTATTGTAAATAAATAAAGGATCTGGTGTATAGCTCAGTGGGAGAGGGCTTGCCTCTCATGGGTGAGGCTCTGGGTTCCATTCCTAGCACCACAGGGGTAGGGAAAGGGAAAAAAGATCCCAAGAAACAATTGCATTTGTGTATTTTTATGCTAGGTTTGGCGAAGAAGTAGTCACAGAGAAAGAGGATCTAATGGTAAAGAATTGGAAACAGCAAAGCTGATTTGTTCAGGTTCTTCTTGGCATCTCTGTCTTAGGCTTCTCTCCTCCAGGGATAGGGGTCACCTCTTGAATAAGAGTCTTACAATTGGTTTTAGTAAGGTCAAACAATCCTTCCTAGGTTTTATGATTGGCTTCAGGGGAGAAAGGCTTCAAAGGTGAGCCTTCTGCTCCTGTGATTTTCTTAAATTCTTAATTTTCTTAAATTCTTAAATTTTGGGAGTGGTGTCCCCTGAACTCCATCACCATCAAGTCCAAAGCCAACTGCTTACTCACCCTGATGTGCCTGATCTTCCTCTCATACCCTATCTGCAATGACCCGGCTTGGAAACCTTGGGCTCCACTTGAGTTTATCTCCTTCATTTCACAATCATTTGATCATTTGTCTGTCCCACTTGCTTTGTCCTTGGTGAAGACTTTTAACCAAGCTTTGATCAGAATTTTAGTGACAGCTTCCCAACTATCCTCTGATTAACTCCTCAGCCCATTCCCCATTGCCAGAGGTTTCCAGCCTCTTTTAAGTCCACTTCCCCTGACAAGACTTATACAAGCACTGGGCCTGTCACCACCTGTCCAGAACTCACACTCCCAGATGCATTTCTGTCACTCTCTCCCATAGCATCAGACATTAAGCTCCTATTCACATAAGCTGGGGACATTCCATTTACTCCTGCACAGACTTTCCCTCTTCTTTACTGGCAAACTACTGTACTTACCATAAATGCAACCCTTCATGGAACTTCTTTCCTCCTTTCCTTGATCCACAGCACTTCCCAAATAGATCACATGACTATTTTCACTAGACTCCCCACATCAGAAAGAAAAAGTTCACTTATCCTTCTCACAAGCCTGGACCATGCCAGTGTAACACAATTAATGTTCATTGAACATGGTAATATTTTATTTTTTTTGGTAGCAGGGATTGAACTCAGGGGCACTCAACCACTGGGCCACATCCCCAGCCCTGTTTTGTATTTTATTTAGAGACAGGGTCTCACTCAGTTGCTTAGCATCCCGCTATTGCTGAGGCTCGCTTTGAACTCATGATCCTCCTGCTTCAGCCTTCCAAGCCGTTGGAATTACAGGCGTGTGCCACCACACAATAAAAATATTTGGCAATATTTTTAGTGATATAAATTAACCCAACTCTTGAATGTCCTCACACTATCTGTGCATGTGTCCATGTACAAAGAAATGTGCTAGATGCTTATAGATAACCAAAACAAAGAAGGAATTGAGAAATGTTGCACTTGTAACATGTTTTATGGAACTAAACGTCCTCCCAATCCCATTCTTTATTGCTGAGGAGTAGCAATACAAACCCAGAATTAGTCTAGAATATTCAAGTAAAAACTTCTCCCTTCCTATTTCAATATAATCTGTACATCTTTTTAAAACTTAATAGCTTTAGAGTTTGACATCTCAAGCAATGACTGTAGATACTACCCTTCAATGTCACTCATGCTAATAAAATGCAAGTTCTCTCTTAATAAGTGGATGCAGTGAACCAAGTCTTTCTGCTTTGCAGGTAGCACTTCTGGTTGCAAATGAATTCTGGGAACAAGGAGATCTGGAGAGAACAGTGCTGCAGCAACAACCTATTGTAAAGACGTTGGAATAAAATGCATTACTTAGTAAAAATTAGTACAAATCAGTCTATTTTGTTCATTAAATATAGGGAAATTATCTTAAAAGGATTTATTTCTCTTTCTAGCCTATGATGGACAGAAACAAAAAAGATGAACTACCTAAACTTCAAGTTGGATTTATTGATTTTGTTTGTACTTTTGTATATAAGGTAAGTAAACCAATTATTTGAATGAGCCATATAATCTCTTAGATGAGAATTTTTCTCTTCAATTATAACCATAGCAAAAGTCCACCCACCCACCCCCTCAGAGGAAAGCCATTAGGGGTGTCACTGTTCTCCATAGTAATTTTGAGATGTGACCCTAATGTCATTCAGGGTGGAATAAAAAGTGTGAGGACTCAGATGTGAACCACTTGAGCAGACTTCCTGAACAGGCAGGAAGGACTGTACCTCCCAGTCCCAAGCCTCAGAGGCACTTAGTTACGCTCATCCCAACAGATCTGAGCACTGCACAACGCTTTACAGGTCCTCTGCATGTGAAAAATACCAAAGCCCAACTTTCCAACCTAAAATTTTCTTTAGGAGTTCTCACGGTTTCACAAAGAAATCACACCCATGCTGAATGGCCTTCAGAACAACAGAGTGGAATGGAAATCTCTTGCTGACGAGTATGATGCAAAGATGAAGGAAATTGAAGAGGAGATGAAAAAGCAGGAAGAAGAAGTGGTAGTAGCACAAGGTGAGATGGATTCTGCTTTTGCTCCTTACAAAGAAGCCAGAGGTCAGGGTGAGCTGAATGTCACATGACAAAAACATGAACAGTAAATATAAAATGAAAAAAAAAAAGTAAATATAAAATGAGTCCTGCTTTCCTGATGCAGACTGGTAATTAGTGGTTTTCAGGCCCCAACCCCCAACATCTCTCAAAAAGATCTTATGTGTAATTCAATATAGATTTGACAGGAATAAACTGAAGTAGAGGTTGAAGCTAGTTGTCTTTGTCCCTCTAGAAGGTGGCTCCTGAGGCACCTCTGCAAGACTGTAAGAACAGTATCAAAACCAGAATCTGAGATATCAGGGATACATGAGAATACAGCTTTAGACTGGTGTACCCCATTAGCTATGAAGATTCTGGGCAACTTGCTTAACCTTTCTGAGGTTCATGTTCTCTACCTAAGGTGGCTTAGAAGATGCCCAACTTAAGGAAGTCCTACATGTAAAGCTGGCCAAAGGGGGTGACTTAAAGGACACTCCCCCATATTTTTGTTTCCCAGATGTATCCACATGGTGCTGTTTTATCTGGCCTGAAATTCTACTCATATAGTCATTCATTAGGTTTAACATTCAGAAAGCCTGTTATAGTGCTTAGGTGCAACTACTAGTTCATCAAATGACTGAAATGTCATCTTGAAAGTGGAATGCTAATTTCTGTCTTCCAAGTTTAGCATTTTAAAGGTTTTGTAAAGAATTCTGATTGACAATAATCCACATGGAAACACCTTGAAAGATAAACTTCCTTTAGATGGTTACATTTGGTGCTATTGTAATCAATTTACAGAGGGTGAGAATATTTTCCTTAACAAATTTAGGAGGGCATCCTTCAACAAAATATGCTTTCACTGATGTATTCATTGAGTGTCTGTTCCATACAAGGACCCAAGTCAGGCAAGCCTTGGGGAAAAATTGTTGTCCTTATCTCCAAGCGGAGTGGTGATGGGGGGAGCTACACATTAAGCAATCGATGCATAATCAATGTGCTGATTACAAGCCTCAGAGAGAGTATGGGTGTGTATGTGGATGCATATGTCAAGATCTCAAGACAGTAAACTTGGCTCACACAAAAAGGAGAAGTGAAAACACTGAACATTAAGAAAAAGATGTTGAGGACTGGGGCTGTATGTAGCTCAGTGGTAGAGCACTTGCTTCACACATGTGAGGCAGTAGGTTCGATCCTCAGCATCACATAAAAATAAATTGGGCTGGGGTTGTGGCTCAGCAGTAGAGCGCTCGCCTCGCACATGTGAGACCCTGGGTTTGATCCTCAGCACCACATTAAAAAAAAAAAAAAGAAAGAAAAAGATGTTGAAATGCGAATAAGCCCAGTGTAATTGAAGAACTTAAAAACTGGTATGGCTGGAGTCTAGAGAGAAGGAAGCTACGGCATTAGATGAAGTTAGTAGTTTAGGGGCTGCCAGAGAGCAGACTGCCTGGGGCCTGCTGAGGATTATTGTCAATAGAGGGGTTCAGACAGGAAAGCAGGAAAATCTGACTTGCACTTCAAAAATATGTGATTTTTTACCAAGCTCTTAGAAAGTGAGTATTCCTTAGTGTTATTAAATTTTCCCTTTATCCCAACATTATGATGAAGAGACAATCAGGTCTTTAAGAGGCTCCTGACATTTTATTATTCAGTATACTAGAAACAGATCTTTTTACTTACATAAAAATTGACTTCTGAATTTTTTTCTAGTACACACTGAATTCTTTGTAGACTATTATTTTGTATTCCTTGGTTATCAACTTTTGTGCATCAAGTTCATTCCCACATTAAATAACCTCAATGAGAAACTGATATTAATTGGCTAACCACTTGTCAGATTATATTTTTTAAATGAACCAACTGTGAATCAAAATGTTTTCAAATGTTGAAACCCATAGTACTTGCTATAGATTAATATTATCAATTAGGCTATAAAGTTGATGAGAGAATATCATGATATTTCTATATTTACATTAATTCTTATAATAATATTGCTTTTTTATTTCTTTCTAGTTGCTGAGGATTCAGGCGGTGGTGGTGTTGATGACAAAAAGTCCAAAACATGCTTAATGTTGTAAAATAATCCAACTGGTCTAAACTTCAAACATCATCTTAGTTTTGAAGAAAAACAGAAAACATTAAAAAAAATACAAAAAACTTCAGTAAATTTCATTCAGCAAATCATCAAGTAACAGAGTTAAGAGGATCACCAGAAAAACTATCCTGCGACTTGTATCAAGAGAATATATATTTCTGGCCTGAAAACCCTGAAGATGAAATAAAGTTCAACAAAAATGCAAAATAAGACAAAAAACAGGTGCATTTTGGGTACCAACTTACTTTAAAAAATATGTGGTCGTGAAACTAGTCAGGTTTAAAAAAGTTTTAATTATATTTACTTGCTAAGGCTGCGTAATAGAGTACCTACCACAGAATGGGTGGCTTAAACAACAGAAATTTATTTTCTCACAATTCTAGAAGCCAGAACCTACCCAGAAGTGCAAGACCAAGGAGGTATTGGAAAGGCTGGTTTCTCATGAGGCCTCTCAACGTGGTCTGTAGCTGGCCATGTTTTCCCTGTGTCTTCAAAGTCATCCCTCTGTGTTTATGTCTAGTTTCTTCTTCTTATAAGAACACCAGCTCTAGCACAAGGTGCACCCAGTAATATGAATGAATGATAATCAGAATGAATGATACAATATGTATAAATAAGAAATAATAAGTCATCACCTTGGGTAAGTACTGCCATGTACTTAATGTTGAGACTCCACTTCTAAGATCACATAAGAAATTATTCTTTAAGCTTTATTTTTAAAGTTTTAACCCCTAGACACCAAGTCAGTTCAAATAACTTCCCTTCTCAGTCACCAGAAACTGAGCTGAGGGTAGCAATGTGCCACCACTGAAGGTCTGCCAAATATAAGAACTCTGCTTCAGAGCAATTGTAAGGAAGCATAGTCTCAAACCCTCCAGACCAAGGGTCTACTGACTGCACTGAGGCAAAGTGTGAAATAGGTATGTAGGAGAATTAATGTTTAAACTATCATTTTGGAGCACTTTTCAAATACTCCTTAAAATAGGACTTATAGGAGAGGGATATAGCTCAGTTGGTAGAGTGCTTACCTTGCATGCACAAGGCCCTGGATTCAAACCCAAGCAACACACACACACACACACACACACACACACACAAGAACTTTCATCATCTGTCATTATGTTGAATGGATTAAGAATTTTAATTTTATGTAACAATCTAAATTTATCATTGAACTTGATACATAAACTCATACTTGCACTACTAAATATATGGATCTATTTTAAAAGGGTATTTAGATATTCTTCCAATTAACATTAAATTCTGTAGGAATAGGACTATATTTTTATCATAAGAATGTTTAATTACATATATATCACTTCTAATAATTTAACTTTTGGACCTTTCAAATATTTTTCTTAGAAATCAAGATTCCTTTTTATTTCAATGTAAAGTTGTGAGATGAAAAAACAATACCTTCAAGAAATGAAGAAACTTTCACACATGATATTTAACATTAATAAACCTAACACCAATTTACTATTTTCTAATAAGTTCAGAAATGATTGCATAATTATTTCCTAGACAGTTTCTTGACAGCAATGCCTAGCACAGTGCCTTACATGTAATAAAAGCCTGATAAATATTTGTGGAATTAATGAATAACAACTGTTTAATAAAAGGAAAATTTCTGATATTAACCCTTTTACAGTAAGACACTAAATTACTTAGTTTTCAATTTCATGCCAATCATTTCATGTTTAAATGTATATCAAGGAGCTATGAATGAAAGAGAATTACAGATGAGCATCTGAAAAAGGACTGGGAAGTGTGTCTGCTAATGAACTCAGGAAGCATTAGACATCCTGAGAGTGGCTGAATTTTTATTTCCAAAGACCAACCATTCAAACTGCAACCTACAGATAAAAATTTTATGAAGTTTTGAAGTATATTTACACATTAAGGAATGCAGGCTTTCTCTCTCCCATCTCACAGAAACAAATCCTGAAAATACTCATCAAATTCTTCTTCCCTGTTAAAAAGAAAAAGTATAGTTATTAAAACCAATAGAATAAAAAATTATTTGGAGACACATTATGAGATTAATAAAAACACTGAGTCTTGTATGCATCAATATTTCCATGAATCAGTCACAGAGTAATTCTTAAGTTTCTAAAATAACCGAAACCATACTCATATTTATTAAAATTAAAATAATTTACAAGTTGACACCTCTCCCAAAATGTAATACCTAAGATTTTGCTTTAAAGTTCTCTGAAATGTCACTGCTTCTCTTTACTTTTTGATTTACTTTATACCTTCTCTGTTCATTCTCAATTCAAACTATATTCTGCTGAAAAAGTGAATGAAAAAGTCATTTTTAAGGAAAAAAATACACTTCTTACTTCCAAAACCAGGGAGATTTTGCTTAGGTTGCAGACTTCCAAAACCAGGGAGATTTTGCTTAGGTTACAGTATTTTATTATATTGAAAACAGTAAATATATTATGTATTAGTAGCAATAATTTTTTTTTTCAATACTGGGAATTGAACTCAGGGATCCTCTACTATTGAGCTATAGATACATTCTTAACCCTTTCTATGCTTTATGTTGAGACAGGGTCTTGCTAAGATGTTGAGGCTGGCCTTAAACTTGTAATCTCCTGCCTCAGTCTTCAGAGTCACTGAGATTACAGGTGTGCAGCCATCCTGGACCAAGAATCTTATATCTAAAACAAAGAACAGAACTCTGGAAGGAGATATGAAACTAGATTACAGGGCAGGGATAATATAGCTCAGTGGTAGAGTGCTTGCCTAGCATGCATGAGGCTGTGGATTCAATCTCTAGTACTGCCCCAAACAAAAGAAGAGTTCCCCCTTAAGAGTTCAGTGTATAAAAATACTATGAAAAGTGTAAAGTACTAAATAAATATGAGTGCAAGAAGCCAGTGTGAGACAGTGGAAATAGCAGAATTTGAAATTGCACCCTGTATAGTTCTAACTCTGTTATTCATTAGCTATGTGAACAAGTTACTTCTTTATACTCGGTTTTAACATCTGTAAAATAAAGATAATTTCTATTCCCACAGAGTTGTTGTGAGGATTAAATGAATACACAGGTGTTTTTCTTTTTCTGGGAACACAGAATAAAATGGATAATAAAAATTAGCCTACTGATCTCTTTTTAAAAATTATCTTTTAGATCAGATATGTCTAATAGGACCATATCATTTGGTTTAAAATAACTTAGAATGCATAAAGCCAACAAAAATATGTCCAAATTGAAAGGAAAAATTATAGAATCAAATAGAAATGATTAAAGAATCATCTGCAATTTGATATTCTCCATATGCTATTTTTTCACTAGCAATAACAGTACTAACTACAGTTAGAAAACTACAGAAATTATATATATGAAATTGGTGAAACCTCTACAGGGACTTAGATGTTCAATGTCAAAAGAATTGAATATATAAAAGTTTTGTATTATGAAAGCCTTCTTTCATGGGATTTACTCAGGTCTCTTTATTGCCCAAAAAGGTGAACTGAGGCAAACACCTTTTCTGCTATTCTCAGCTATAAAGCCCCTCAAGGAGAGGTGCTCAACAAATGGATAGAAGTTTAGTCAGTCATTTAAATTGAACACCAGTATTTTATTTATAGCAAAGGTTTTTAAAATAATATTATCTATAATAATCATACTTTTGGGAATTCTTTGAGGGAAAAAAAGGTTGCCACAGAAAAAAAGTAATTTTGCTTAAACACCTCTAACACACCTAAACTCTATCACACTGAGGACATATCATATAATCAGCAAAATATTTTATAAGTAGTTTAAAGTAATAAAGTATAGTTGATTCAACAGATTTCTTTTATGAACCAAAATGGCTAGGGACTGAAAAAAAGGGGACTAAAATTTATTGAGCATGTATTACATTTATTTGTACCAGGTGTGTTATTTTCTTAATTCTATTTAATCTTCACATTAAACTCTACATGGTATTTTATCTCCTTCTAATAGATAAAATTCAAGCAGTGAACATCCCAATATATGACAAAACTGATAATATTTCAGCCCATATTCAGTCAGTGTTTCCTCTTCCACCTATAGCAGAAATAAATGCACTGAGTTATTCATCTTTGGGGAGCTAAGGTGGATGTTGGCAAGTCTACTTCTTCAACTGTATATATCTTTAAGGGGTTCTTCAGTAGGGATTTTTGACAATCACAGTAACATGGAACAGACTGCCCTGGAAGTTGGTAAACAGTCTTCTCTAAAGAAATCCAAGGAAAGACCGGACCATCTGTTAGGATAAGCTGATAAAAGGTGTATTCACCAAGAGGAAGATGGAGACAGACATTGGCTGTTTATGGCCATCAACAATGTCTGGGAAAAAACTTTCTTCTTACCAGGCTAGAAATGGTAAGATGTTAACATTCATGATGTTAAATTTTTCCCTTGTTATCAAGAGTGGCTGTGGTCATAGCTACTTAAAATGGTTAAATGGGTCTGTATTATCTATAAATATGAGCACTTACTGTGATTTTTCATCTGTTTCTGGTAGTGGACCCTTCCAGAGCTCAGACTCGGAAACACTTTCTTCCTCATCAGAGTTTCCTGTTCATTTAAAAGACATTTTTGAAAAACATATTATATTTAAAACACATTTTGAACTACTCATCAATGTAATTAAATTAATGTTGAACTTAATTGCAATTCAAATTCAATTTTTATATGATTCTCTGGAAATTTAATTCACTCTTCCAGGTACAATAAATTATTTTAATTAATAAATAATGTGACAAATACCAGAGTCTCAGCAAAAAGGCCAAGAATTAATGTCTCATGAAAAACTTCCCTAAGTTACTTTGCATTAGAATAGCAATTCCAATATTAACTCTTCTAAGAAAAAATTTCTTGCAATATAATTGATTTAGTTTCTTCTTTTTCTTGGTCATTAAAAAAGAAATCAAAGTTAAGATTCTGCGAGAGCATATTTATATTAGGACCTATACCTCAAGGACTGAATTAGTATATAAAATATCCAGTTAAATTGTGAGAAAAAATAATTGTCAAGACATTTAGTTAAATTAATGCTAATTAAAAGAAGAAGCCTGTTTTGGTGAAGAAACAGTTATTCTCAAATCATTAAGAGTAAACATTCTGTAATCTTTTTTCTTAAAGAAAATATGGCAACACAGAATAGTTTAAAAGCACATAACCTTTGACCAACAATGTTGCTTTTAGGAATTCAATTGTTTACTTCAAATAAATAAGTACCTCAGATACATATGTATGAAGAAGCACACTGTAAAACAACAAAACATGATAACCTAAGTCCCCATCAATCAGGAACTAAGGATTGGTTAAATGAATATTTACAGCTGTTCAAAAACCTTAGCTCATTTGTATGTGTCGCCAAGGAAAAAGGTCTATGCTATATTAATTTTTTCAAAGTTACAGAAGATATGCACAGTATTATCTAATTTATGTTAAAAAATCATTTATACTTATTATATGTATATAATGTAAGTTTATACATGTATATTGAGTTTGTAATGTAAGGATCAACCAAACTTTCCAGTGATTATATTACTAGGATCCTGGGATACTTTTCCTTTCTACTTTAAACATCCAAATTGCTTGTATATAAAGACACTTCTATTCTGAAAATTTAACAAAATGGACATGTTTCAAATCAATCTGCTAAAAATTGTTAAATACTGAGAGATGTATTTTTAGATAAAAAACCTTTATGCCACAAAGTAATCACATTAACAAATAATTCCTTTCCAATAATGACCATTACTCTAAAAAAAGAACTACTCTTGAGGTACTGGTTCTAATATAAATATGCTTTCTATAAAAAAAAAAATCTGAACTTGTCTTTTATATAACCAAGAAGAAGCTAAATCAAAGACAACTATGTTACAAGAGATAATTACCTTGTAAGAGTTAATATTGCAATTACTAATTTAAATTTGGCCGGTCAATACAGAATGTTTCTTAGTTCAGCACAACACAAAAATATAACAGTATTGATTTGCCACGGTGGTTCTCTTGCCTGTTGAACTTTGGTCCTTGAATCAATGTGTGTATCTGAACTTTGGTCCTGAGTCTACAGTGGCACCAATTTTAACAAAAATGGCAAAAGTGGGGGGAAGTTGGGGACTACTGCTGTATTTCTAGTGATCTACATACAAATGATGACAAAATTATAATGTCTTGAGTAAAAGATTCCTGTTTTATTGGAGGCCATCACCAAATCTGCCCATGTGAGGATAAGATTCATCAACTCCTATTTTTATAAAAACTCACCAACATGAGATAAAGTGCAGAAAAACTACTTAAGCCTAACAAAAGTAACACTATGATGTTACTCTGTTAAGATGTAAGAAAACAAAACCTACAAAGTCTTTAAAAATGGGGAGCTAATAATTTCAAAAAGCCTTACCACTACTACCTGTTTTCCAGTTCCCTCCCAGGAGTACTTCCCAAATTCCAGCTTTCCTACACCAATTTTCTGATACCTAACAATCCAATTTTACGAAAAAAAAATCAGTTTATAATAATATTATAAAATAACTCCCTTTGAAAAGCATCTACTGAAAGTAGCCAAATATCCTTAGAGAAGCAAGTCTACAAAACTGGACTAAACAACCTCTAAGATACCTTACAACATGATTAATCGAAAATATTCTGGTTCCCTAAGGAGGACAGTCACTACAAATCATTGCTATAACTGCTACAACCTGTCAGAGGTGGGAGAACTGTTGCTAAGGAAATAATAGGAAGAAAGGTCAATACAAAATGATGTTCTTGTATCAACACTATCAAATCTCTGCAGTAATTACTGGCAAGTGAGGATCAGAATCTAAGTCAACGACTCTCAGGTGGAAGGACAGTTTGGAGGTCTTTTAATCCAAGCTTTATCCAAAGAATGAATCTGTCATTGCAATATCTCCAATAATAAGCATCAATTCCACTATGTTCAAAAACACAATTTCCAAGGCAGCCTATTTCTCCTTTCCTTTTGTCAGATAGTTCTAAGTGACAAGTTTTTCCATAAATTGAGGCAAAAATTTGTTTACAGGCAATTTTTATCTGTAGACTCCCATTCTATCAACCACAGCCACCAAAAAGAAAAAAAAAAAGTCTTCAACATAGTAACAGCCTTCACAATATCTGTAGTTTCCACATCCACTTCCTTACCTCTTCTCTCATCCCTTCACTTTTCTCCAATCTAAACCTCTGCAGTTCCTCCAATATTCTTCCTACAGCACAATTTCAAGTTCTCTTAATATCTTGGATGTTCTTTTCCTGACCAGCTTCAAGTCTTCAATATTCCCTTTAAGGTGTGGTACCTAAAACTGCATGCAATTTTCCCAAAAGCTTTGAAATTGAAAGCAAGTCTATCATTTTGGTTTTTGCGGATATTATATAATAACTAAAAACTCACTCTATTGAAGAAAAGTCTCCAATAATCATGATAACAAATAGGTCAAACTTTACAGACTTGACTTTTGATCTGATCAATTTCAGAAAACAAACAATCATTTTAATGTCTAGTGTTTTTCTTTTCTCTGATTTAACAAAGTAGGTTTCTTTATATCCATTTTACAACAGAAGTGAGACAGAGATCAAATCATTTATATATGGATCTGTATGATGTATCTGCCAAAATTAAGGTACAAAGAGTAGATATTTGATTCACAGTTGTTGGTGGTAAGGTAAAAAGGACATAGACTTTAGGGTTATAAATTTGTTTAATCTTAGCTCTATCATTAATTATTTGACCTTGAACAATTAAATTCTCTGGTTCTTGGGAGATCTACTGTATAGCACAGTAACTATAAGTCATCACAAATTGATGTCCTCTCTCATAAATCCACAGCAGAGTCTTCTCTCAAAACTGCCATGAAAAAGCTCAATACTGAGTTCTCTTTATTATCTTACGTACTATTGATGGTATCACTATTTGGTTTGGCTGTTAGAAAGAACAGTGACAAATCTGAAATCTACTTTTGCAATGATGCAAAACTTTTTGGTACTTATTTGTCCATATCAAATTTACCTCTAGCTTTCCATTGCTATTTCACCTTATTTTGCCATTATTTTGATTTTTGTTTATCTTTTTTTAAGAAAACTATATTTTTAAAGTCATAGAGCATACTATTTGAACTATAGCAAGTAAAAAATTTGCAGCAAATATTCAGTAAAATCCAATCTATTTTGATCCAAGCTTGTAAAAACCACAGGACTAATTAAAATAATAACCAGCAGCAAGAAATTCTCCTTTCCATGCACAAACCATACACTTCAATCAATCAAAATCACCAGATGATCACTCAGACTCATGTAATAACTTTGGCTTACCTATCAACCCATCCTCCAAATTTCTTTTCCCTTCCAACCTCACTGCTGCCTCTCCTTCTGTTCCTTCACATTTTTACAATGTGAAACTGAAATGTATATCCATTATGTTCAGTGAAAGAAATTTAAATGTTCTCTATAGTTAAAATAAGATAAAATAACATTTAATTTTCTTAATTGGAGAATAAACATTCACTTTTGGCCTTCTTTTTATGACTTTTCTCAAGTAATACGGGGGGGGGGGGTGAAAGAATTCACATTAAAGTAAGATAAAATTCATGAGAAACCCAAACTGCAAATACTTTGAACTCATATATCTCATTTAATAAAGAAACACCTGATACTTACTGTTTACAGAATCTTCTGATTTCTTTGAGGTTGAATGCCCTGAAAAGGAAATAGCATTGATTTATTAAGCATCATCTTGGGGTTATTGCAATAGTTGTAGCTGTAACCATTATTCTTTCCCACAGTCTAACTGGTTTATATTCTTGTAAATGCACTTCATTGTTTTCTAATCTTTCAGGTTCCTTGGTCTTCTCTCCTCAATTAAAATGTCTCAATTTCACTGTGCTTTGATTTTATATTCCTGAATCTTCCCTGAAATCATTTCCAATGTCTTCATTCTTTTATTATTATTTATGCCAAACATGTTAGTGGGGTGATAGGGACAGAGCAGTAAATATGCAGGCAGAATCCCTGCCCTCTCTGGACTTTTAAGTCATTGTCATATGTGTAATGAAAGAAAGTTCCAGCATTAAAAATGAGGGTCCTAATTTAGACTTATGGTGGAAGACAGAATAGGAAAGGATCCCTGGGAAACAGCATTAAGTTTAGACCTGAAAAATGAGTTGGATGGAAACAAGGGTTTTAGGAAGAGAGGAAGCAGCATCCATGCAACCCTTAAAATGGAAAGAAGCATGGCATTTTCTAGAAACTGAAAGCCTGAGTGTGAAAGTGAGAGAGAATGTGATGACAAATCAATGAGCAAAACAGAGCAGTAAACTAGGAGAGAAAATATGGTGGTCTGTAACAGGGTAGAGACAATTTGAGGAATCTGTACTTGGGGTAAAACTAATTAGATGTGGTGACAAATTAAATATAAATAATGAAGGTATTAGGATCATTCTCAGATTTCTAATATTGTTTTTCACGCTGATAGAGCTGTCCATCTACTGAAATACAGAACACCAAAGGAAAAACAAGTATAAGTAAGATCACATGCACATGTAGGTACAATCTGAAGAGTCCACCCCCATCCAGCCACTAAATCCTGTTTTGAATAACCTCTTATGAGGTAGAGATGAATTCTTCTTTAATTTGGAATAAGCAGTAAATAACATGGCATCATAATTATGATACCAATGCAACAATTTTATAAAATGTAATGATAAATGCAACAAATTTCTCAAAGAGTACATAAAATATTTTATTAGCATATCAGAAAAAATAAAAATTTGAAAATTCAAATGAGATATTTACACTTATTAAATTTTTTTTAGGGTTAGAAAATGATTAAGATAAGACAAAAGGGCATTCTGCTTTAAATTTTAATTTTCAATAAACAATAAAACAACAATTTTTTCTTACCACTTATCAATTCTACCAATTCTAAAACTTGGTAATATTATATACTTGAATATTTTAAACTCCATCTACATAATGAATATATGAGATATGCAAGAAGAAAAAATACATGTAAGAATGCAAGATACCTAATGATCTTCATAGCTGGAGCAAGGGAGCCCTCTCCTGTCCAAATATTATATTAACATTTGCTAGAATTTAGTTCAATCTAACACTAACTACCTAGTTTTAAGTCTGACTCACTATAAGTTATAGCTTTTACTCTTTATTACAGGCTGAAAAGGCAATTAGAAGTAATCTTCATAACAGCTACTTATGTGCCGGGTACTAAGCAAAATGCCTAATGAATTACCTCACTTCAACATACAAATAATCCTAAGAGATAGGTAATGTTATCATGGCCATTTTACACATGAAAAAACTGAGGCTTAGAGGGGCTGGGGTTGTGGCTCAGAGGTAGAGCGCTCACCTAGCATACATAAGGCAATGGGTTTGATCCTCAGCACTATATAAAGTAAAATAAAGACCTTGTAAAGTAAAATAAAGACCTTGTGTCCACTTATAACTTCAAAAAAACCTGAGGCTTAGAGAGCTTAAAGACTGGTTGGGGATATAGCTCAGTGATAGAGCATTTGCCTAGCATTAGCATAATTCCCTGGGGTCAATCCCTAGCACAGCAAAAAAAAAAAAAAAAACAAAGAAGAGAGTTAAGGAGTTGAGGGAAAAGTAAGCACTTGACTGATGATAAATTTGAAGGCACAGTTATATGCCAATCTTTCTCATTTCAAAAAGCTCATAAACCAGGCATGGTGGTGCACATCTGTAATTCCAGGTACTTAGGAGGCTGAGGCAGGAGGATCACAAGTTCAAGAGTAGCCTCAGTAAACAGTAAGACCCTATCTCAAAATTCAAAAAATTTTAAAAGTACTGGGGAAGTAGCTCAGTAGTAGAGTGCTCCTGGATTCAATCCTCAGTCACTCACTCACACACAAAGTTCTAAGCCAGTGAAAATACTTAGACATATTATAATAAAAATCATAGAATTGTAATTTTATATTATCCAACTATAAAATTTTTACAGTTTCCTAAGTGTCTTTCACAGACTTCTTTGATTCTCCACAATAAGCCTGATTAATATGGAGGCCACATATTCAAATTACCCAAACATACATGAGAAAAGCAAGCTCAAGAAGTTCATGTCCAAAATAATAAATCCAATAAAGCCAGGATTAGAATGCTATTTACAATATTATACTAGCTGCCAAAAATGAATCAAAATCAACATTTTTAAGTTGCTAAAAATTAATATCTAAATTCTTAATTAGTTTCCTTTCAACAACTATAAGACAACACTCACCAATTATAATCTATATTTGAGATACAGCAGATTATATTTCATATTCAGAAATGTAAGTACATACTATATATCTTAATTTCCTTTTACCTTTATCTTTTTTCTTGGAGGCCTCTTTTGCAGATGATAATTTGGATTTTTTATGTGATGATTCGTCACAATCTTTTTTGGTTTTGGCCTTTCTTTTTTTTGACTTGATTTCTTTTCTCCTTTATGTTAAACAACATAAAAAAGTTAACTTCTTCAATTGAACTTAAAAAAAAAAAAACCAATAAGTTAAAATATTTATTTTAAAATGTAATTTGTGTAATATGAAACCTTAAATGAATCTATATATATTTTAGGTTAATAAAATAAAGACAACTGAAAGATAATGAAGCCTAAACACATTGAAACAAAAAATTATTTTTTACAAGTTTTATACAAAACCTTCATAAATACAAATTGTAATTCTACCTAATTCCTCCTTTCTATATTCTCTCATTCCAACATTAAAAAAAAAAACTGCAAAAAAGCAAATCTCATTTCCCTTCACATAATTCATATCTGCATACACTCTGAATGAACACAAATAAGAAACTACTATAACATCTCTAAACACTAGTAAACAGAAAATTCTTCTTTTAAGAATGAAAGAATGCAATGCAAGTATGATGGCCATTTGTAATTTATCCTCTTACTGGTATAACTTTCTCTCATCTAGGTCAGGTTTATAAGCTGGTAAGTACCATGGCTAGCAAGCCATCAATTTTAATTTCTTCAGAAAAGAAATACTAAATAGAAAAAGGTGACAATTTTGAAAATGTAACTGGCAAGGAAAAAGAGGATTATTTTTTTAAAAAAATCCAAATTAAGGTAACTACACCAAATGCTATAACACTGTTCACACAATAACCATTTTTCTCTCTCAGCAGAATCATTTCAATTTTTAAATGAAGCTCAAAAGTCAAAGTCAAAAGACATCAAACTAGTTTCAGTGTCATGGATAAAAAGAAGAAATAAAGGGTTAGGTTATTCAAGTAATCTAAAAAGTTCTCCTAATTTTAAGAATAAAAAAAAATTCCCATACAGAAGGAAAAGGGTAAATACTAGAAATTATATTGACCAAATTATATTATTATATTGTGTGCATACACAAATATGCAGCAACAAATTCCATCATCATGTCCAACTACAATGTACCAATAAAAAATAAAATGGATATTCTTTGACAAACAGTATAAAGAAGTTGGCAACACCCTATGCTCATGAAAAGATAAAGACAGTATATGCCAGATATCATGGGTAATGCAACAAGGAAGGCTGTAAGGATTAAAAAGTCAAGTGGCTTCATGGTTTTCATCTTCTAAAGCAAGGAAGTTAAGACACTTGGATTTGTAAAGCATACCCCTACTGAGGAACCTAGAGCACCAGTTCCTCTGAAAAGAGTGCAGTGTTTCAGGGTCGCTAAAACAGGAGGCTTAGCTGAGAGTGTAGATCAGAAATGCTTACACTCCACTCCACAAATGCCCTCCCCAAGGCTTGCATAGTCAGGCAGCTAGTTACTCCTTCCCCTTTAGTCATTTCTTGAGAAATCAAATCAATGAGCAAAATTAGGACTTAGTATTCATTTTTAACAGCTAAAATATTAGATAGGCACACTTATACTACAGCTGATTTTAAAGTCACAGAATTGCACTGTTACTCAGGAGCTGAAACCCGACCCCTACAGTAATGGCAAGTCACACAGATTTTGGCTGAACACTTCAGTGCCAGGGACTACGCTTGATTTACCATATGCCAGGAGCTATGTCAGGTATTCTATGTGCTCTTTTATTTATTCCTTCAGCATCCCCACTTCTTTACAGGTGATAAAAATTGAGTCCTACAGATGGTAAGCCTAGTAAGTTAAGTAGCTGAGAGAAATACTCAGGTCTGCTTTCAAAGCCCATGATTTCATATGCATTATACAGTGTAGGCCACAAGTACTCCCTCCCACCCACTCAATATGGCAGGCACTTTAGAGTTCATTTATCAATAGGAACCTGATTTTAACATTTGAATAAATTCTCTGCAACAATGACAAACTCCGGTTAAAACATTACTACAAGAACCATTCCCTGAGGTCTGCTTTACAACATAATTTTTAGAATATTATAGTATCCCATATAAGCCTTCACATTTAAAAGTGTTTGGTTAGAATAGAGATGGTGATCTTCCAATTACCTGTTTTATGTGGTTATACTTTCTACAAATCAAACAATTCATCCATCAACTACCCAAGTCTACAACTAGACATTCAGTGTAGGTAAATGACTATGTCTGAGATAACTAACACTACAAATGACATTTTAAAAAAAACAATGTTACCTGTGATGAAAATTTAATTTAAAGGAACATTCTTGGCATAACCCTAAAAAAACACAAAAACAAACAAAAACAACACTGAACTGCTGAATTTGAATAACTACACTGTGACTCTACTTTTAATAACCATACATTTTTCATTTCCTTTATATTTCTTTACTATAAGAGGGCAAACAAGTAATTTGAAAAAAAAAATCTGACCTTACCACCTCAAATACTACATATAGACATTTACTTTTAATAAAAATTATACTAGTATGATTCAGGAATCAAAAATATTTTAACATTTAAAAAAGTATTATAAATTTACTGTTTCAGAGGCAGCATTAACATGTCTCACAGATATCTGATGATAATAGTAATATAATAATTTGAGTATAGTTATTTTCTCTGAAGAGCTTAAAGAATTTTCAAATGCAAAGGAGCTTTTCAAATAGTTCCATAATTGTGGCCCTTATCTCACACCATAATGGCTTTTCCTGATGAGCACTTTCATAACTCAGAAAACAGTCTGTAATAATCACATGTCCTACATTTATTTAAGATCCAGAGAAAGCTGAAGACCATTAACATGACGAGAGGAGCAGCTGACAAACACTAAAGAAAAATAATAATAGATTCTAATCCATGCATATTAAGGGAAACTGCTTATTTTTGAGTATATTCCTAAGTTTTTAAGACTGATTTCAAAAATAAGTCTTTCTAAAATTTTTCTTTATTGACTATCAAAGACAATGGGTTTATTATCCACACCACAACAATATGGCTATATAATCAGTCAATGTGAGATTTAATACTACTTTCTGTGATACTCTGCCTCTTAGACATGTAACTTAAGAGACATTTGCAAGTTAATGGAGATCTTCACTCTACAAATTATCAGCTTAAATTTGACAGTAGAAATGTTTTACAGAATGTACATGAACAAATATATAACAATGAATCCCACCATTATGTATAATTACACTGTGCCAATAAAATATGGAAAAAAATTTTTACTGAAATGCCACTAGGTATAGCTAAGCATGTAAAAGGTGTAAGCTCAAAAGTCTTTGAGACTTTGGAAAGCTCTAAGAAAAAGGAGCACTTCCAGGAAGAAATGTTAAACATTTTAAGTAGAATTTGAAACAGTCTGTATATTTTAAATTCCAAATTAAAAGCTTGGAGGAAATCAATTTTATCTCCTCTAAAGTCAACTTACTTAATTTAACAAGTGCATTTCTCTTTTCACCATGTTCAATATAACCAAAATTAACTTCCCAACTCTTTAAGCCTTCTTTTTCATCACAACGTTTATTTCCACAAAAAAATTGACCTGCAAAAAGGAAAGAAATATTAGCTATGGTAGTTGACAGTATTCATCTATATAAGCTGTTACTATCTCTAAAATTTACTTTTAAAATATGTTAAATCAAACACTACAGTAAAACTAATTTGTATTATGTATAAATAATTATAACAGAAAATCTAAAATTAAATTTATTTCAAAAAGTATGTAAAATCTTAGCTAAAGTCAAAATTTAAAAAAACTGACCACAATAATGATTTTATGTTCAACAGATGTTTATAAAAGTATCAAATTGAGGGGCTGGAGTTGTGGCTCAGCATTAGAGCATTCCCCTAGCAAGTGCAAGGCCCTGGGTTTGATCCTCAGCACCACATAAAAATAAATAAATAAAATAAAGGTATTGTGTCCTACAACTACCAAAATATATTTTTTAAAAAGTATCAAATTGAAGAGCTGATCTGTTACAAAAAAAGCATTCTCAGTCTCAGAATTATTGCTTGATAAACTGTTTATATTGAGATAAGTTTTAGTGAATCTTCCCTATTAGGGAATCTTACACTCTGTAAAGTGAAGGCATTGAGTGAACTTACCAAAATCCTGAAAGAAAATAAGCATTTTCCAAAGTAAATGTACTTAATATTAAAATTAATATTTGAAATAACTAGCATAGCATTTATTTAAATAACATCAGTGGGCGTAAGAATATATTTAAAAACTCTTGCACTCTGGGATGAAATACACTAAGTAATCAAACCTGATACTTTAAATTTTAGAATCACCTGTTGCCAATATTAACAGATCACCATGTTCACTATACTAAAACTTCCAAACAAAGGACTAAGACTGACTGATGATCCAAGAGAGAAAAAAAAAAAAAAAGAAAGAAAAAGAAAAAAGATACCATGCAACAATTATTTACTTTGGCAGAAAAAGATAAAAATCAATCTTTAATTTATACAAACAAAAAAAAATAGTAATTTGCACCAACAGCAGCAAATCTGAAATAAGCAAATTATTTTTATAAAAATAAGAAATTACCAAAATAAATTTAGAATATTATCATCCAAAAGGCCAATTTCTAAATCAGCCTTTTAACTTATTCCAAATAAATACTTAATTGAATTTATATGGTTAGTAATGGCTGCTAAAATGGCAACCACAAATTATAACTTAAATCATAGCAGCAGCTTGCTCTCTTCTTAACTAATTCCTTAATCAGTTATATGAATTTAGAAAATGTCTATCCATTTTTTAAAAGGTAGCACTGTAAATTTGCCTAAAAATCCTGTTCAATCAAAGTATCAAATTTTAAAATTCTGATAGACATTTCAGGATCATTATTTTAAGTAAAGACACAAACTAAACTGAAACCCTAAGAAAGTGAGAAGTAACTTTAAATTTATTCTTTTTCCATCTCCTTGAAAGTGGCAATCAAATATTTAGTTCATTAGCAAAAGATCAAACATTTGGTTGGCAATCAGTAAATGTATATTTGTACACAGTCTTATGCTATAAAATTAGCTCTTTGTAGAATAATTGTATTTTATGTGATAGTACTTCTGAAAACTATAATTTTATAATTTTAAACTTAATTTAGAATCTCTTTTAAACTAAGAATAAAAGTTACATTTTTAAGTCATTAAATATTTATACTATCAGACATTTTCCATAAATTGAATATATTTTATGTCAGGTATGAAACTGGTTATTCAGTAAAAGAAACAAGAGTAGGATTTTGGGGGAAAGATGTCTGAGACATAAAACACTATATAAAAAACACAATTTTCAGGACAAAAATTCATTGAATATAGTGCATAGAAAAAGCATTTACTGGAGTGCCAACCAGATGTTTGGCTTTTTGCTATGAGGGTAAATATTTGGGCCATTTCAAATACTCTCCCAGATAAAAACTAGCCTATACGGGTATAAAGTGAAATGTAATTTTTATTTTCAAAATGTAGATTTGGCAAGAATATAATAGAACCAATTTATTATTCAAAAAATGTAAAGGAAATAAATAATTCACTTGTTCCTTATATTAAATCTTTAAATATTTTCTATCTATTCTTCCTTTGAATGTTCTAAAGTCAAAAAATCATGAAAGCATATTTTCTGACCTTTGTTAATAATGTTTCACAAATGCATCTTTACTTTTATTTATGTAGATAATAATTTATTGCATATGGAAGAATCTTACCCAATGACTTCAATTCAATATCACAACAAAATAAGCTGTATCCTATTAAAAAAGTAAAATTAAAAAAAAAGAATTACCTTTTCCTGAAATTACTTCTTTTTCTACTCGCCACCTAAATCCAAACTGTTAAGAAAAATTTACATTGATGCTAAAGTAAATTTAAACATTAAATTTAAATTTTATATAAATGTAAATATGGAGCCAACCATTTACCAACTTAAAATAAACCTAATTTTCATCATGAGAGCATGTTCTCTTCTCATAGGACTACAGATACTTGAAAATACATTTGAACATTTGTTAAGAGCAACCTTCTTTACTTTTAAAATACCCTGCAATTATAGGTACCAGGTCAAGATACCTAAGCTAATAAATAATATATCCTGTTTTCTGATACTGACAAGAAATAAACAAAAAAGACTGTAGTACAGCAATGAGCCTGTGTAGTATAGTATAAAAAAGTATAGCCTTTGGAGTCAGATATAGGATTGGGCAAGTTATTTAATTTCTTTTTGCCTCAGTTTCCTCAGATGTAAAGTAGACATATAAGTAACTACTTCTTTTGGGAAAGTTTAAATATGAAGCACTTGCAATAGTAATAGGTAATGGAAGGAGGTTAGCAAACCATGGCACAACAGTCTGTTTCCTATTTTTATAAATACAGTGAATACAACCACATTCTTTCATTTATGTATCTCAACCTTCACAGTAGGGTTTAGTAGTTGTGACAGAGACCATATATCTAGCCCTTTACCAAAAAGTTTGCCAACCCCTGTAATAATGGTCAACATTATCAGTTATAACTATCATGTGCTCTGGCTCATCAATGGATATAAACAACTATTACTCAGATACATGAAAGCATAGGGTTCAGTAGTGAAAAAAAATAAAAGACCTCTGATCTCAGCAATCTAATCTGAGAAATCTCTGACAAAAGATCCAACACTATTCAGGTTTCTATCACTGGCAAAGCTTGACTCAGAAACAGAACAGAGGATCCTATCTGGAACCCTAAAATGGAAAGGTTAATTTTCATCCATATTTCTAAACTTAATTTTATTTGTTATTTGGCTGTTGATCCATCTGTTCTATTTTTTAAGATATTTCACATTTATCCATTAATTTACCAGTTTTACTAACAAATTTAGTTTTCTGTCTGGCTTAACGTATGGTTAACAGCTCAATCTCCAGCAATCAACACTCCTTGGTATTGACCCAAAAGAGTTGAAAAATATGTCCAAACAAAAATCTGAACATAGATGTTTACAGCAACTTTACTCATAATGGCTCAAACTTGGAAGCAACTACAATGTCCTTCGTTATGTGAACTGATAGATAAAACTGTGATACATCCAAACAATGTAATATTATTCAGTGCTAAACAGAAAGGAGGTATTAAGCCATGAGAAGATACAGTTATATAGTTATGTATTGCAATAATATGCATAAGTGCATATCACTAAGTACAAGAAGACAATCTGAAAAGGTTTTATATGATGTTGTAGTGAAAAAGACAAAACTATGGAGGCAGTAAAAATATCAGGGACTGCTAGGAGTTAGGGAATAGTGACAGATGAAGAAGCAGATTACAGAGGACTTTTAGGGCAGTGAAACAGTACTCTGATACTATAATGGTGGACACATATCATTATACATTATCAAAAGCCAAAGAATGCATAATACCAAGAGTGAACCTTTATGTGATAATGATAAATCAATGCAGGTCCAATGGTTCTAACAAATGGACCATTCTGGTGGCAGATGTTAATGGTAGGGGAGACTATGTGTAGGGGAGGATGGAGGCTTATGGGAACTTTTTAACTTTCCAGCCAATTTTGCTGTCTCCTAAAAACTGATCTAAAAAATAAAGCCTATTTTTAAAAAGATAACAAAAAACCCCACTCAGCTCCAGTATCATGAAGACCTATAACCAATTCAAGAAGCTTGCCATTCATTAACTAGATCTATAACCTTGGAAAAGTTACTAAATTATTTTATTTTGTCTTTTTGTATACAAATGAAAATGGAAACAATCTTAATTAATTGAAGTGTTGTATTAAAAGAGAATCCAGATAAAGGGTTCAATACTTGTTTGGCTTTTAGTTTAAAACATTTTTAAAAAATCATCTATTACTTGAATTTGGCAGTTTTCTATCTTAAATGCAAATAAATCCTCAAGATATTTCAAAATATTCTGATTAAACCCCCCCCCAAAAAAAATAGAATTCTCAAAGCCTAGGGGGAAAAAAAATCAAATGTTTTTGTTTTATCTTTTAGCCTAAGCATATTCAACATATTTTGGAATGTCTATTGAAGCACTGACAATGCGCACTAGCAATAGTTTCCAAATTTGTTTCTTTTATAAACTAACATACTTAACAAACACTAAATAACTACTTTTCAGCTTGGCATTAACTAAGGATAAAAAGTGATTATTAAAATAGTGTCTGTCACCAAGAAAGTTATAAACTTATAGGAGGAATAAGAAATGTAATGAAACAATTACATTATATCCTACTAGCCAGCAAATGTATATTTCTTATATCCTTTCCTAATATAAATTTCTTGTTGATAGGTTGGATAAAATCTAGAGTTACTCAAGACTCGGTGCCAAACCTCCTCCTCTTATTCTATACTCTCACAAAGAGGTCACACATGCAAGCAAAAAGAAAGAGAAGATTCTGACTTTATGATATCAAGTTCCATAAACATCTACTTGGAGTTTTACTACAAAAAAAATAAATAAGTTCAGCTTATTTAAGTCAGTGGGGTTTTTTTTGGTTTTTTTTTTTTTTTTTTTTGAGAACGAGTTCTATTCCTTGCAGTTAAATATAATCCTGATACAAAAATACAAATACATTCTCATGATGAATGGTTCTTCCAAAAAAGGAATGGAAATATGAAGCAAAGATGGAAACTCACTAAAAAATGCACTAAGTAATGTAATATGTGCAGTATGTGTGTGTATAAATATATATTTTTATATTATACACAGAATTAGGAGTTGATTAAAAGTGAAAAATCATTGTCTAAGGCCTTATTCCAACTTTCTCCAATATCTCAAACATAGTTTGTTAAAACACAAAGTCATTATCTTCCCAAAACACATCACTATCCACACTCAAAGTTTGCAAATCCAATCTGATTCCTTACTAGCACTTAATTCATATCCAATTACTCATTATATTCTAATATGAAAGCACAATTTGTTTCAAGATTATTCTTCTTCAACTATGATTTCTAGTAATAATGCTTTTTAATGGAGAATACAAATAATTGATTTTTATTTACATAAACTTTCCTCCTCAACTAGACTTCAACTTTTCAGTCTAATTTCAATAAATATGAAGAAAAATCCATAAATGAGCTAGGGTTGAAAAAGCTGCTTTGTTACATGCTCCTAGAAAGACAGTATTTCATACTTGATTTGTAATCTATAAACTCAGGTAATTCCAATTGTTGTGCTCTTTGGACGAATTTTGGAAATTGGCTGGCACAAAGATGAGAGATATCAATGAGAACCATAATTAATTAATTCACAAAAAACTGAGAAGACTCTGGGATACACAAAGCACATGGTGTGTAAACAGGGTTATACAAAATGAATATTATTATTGTCTATAAGAAATTGAGAAGCAACATATATTAAAGGCACACTGAAAACATTGTTAAACTAATTCTAATTCTAATAAGGTCAAACTATTTAAATGAAAAAGAAATCTCTATGATACATAAATTTAATACAGCTTTTAAAATAGGTTGTCTTCCTTAATATAATATAAACATACATTATTCATAACATATATTTATGCAGCATTCCCTCCTCTCACATTTCCAACTAAGATCATCTGTTCCTGGGTCATCTTCTTAGATATAAATTTAAAGTTGATTTAGAAATAAATATAACTTTAATATTAACTAAAGTAAGATGTAAAGTGAGTATGGAAATCTGCCACTACTAATTAGCATAGATGGAAAAGTTAATTTTACTAGAATAGGCATATTTGTATAATAAAAGATGTGCATCTGGCACTTTATAAATGGTAATCAATTAAAAAATATCTGTCATTTTGAAACATAAATCTGTGAAACAAGAATCATTCCGCAGTATTTAACCATTCATCACAATCACTAAGGGTCTAAACCAGAGTCAAGATGAAACAGGATCCAAGAGCCACTTGTGTTTAATTTTAGGCTTTTCATGCCTCAGCTCAAAAAGAAAAAGCACCCTTGTCCTTTATAAATTCCACGGGCCCTTTGTAAAAATCTCATGGTCAAAACGATACTCCATAGGTGCAAGACAACCTAGACTAGAAATAGCATCTTTAAAAGAATAATGTGGGTCATGATAGTATAATAAAAATTAAGACCGTATTTGAATAAGAACTTCCTTCTGTATTTAGAGGACATACCTTATTTTCTTTGTATCTACTGAGATCTCCTATGCAGTATTCCTTGAATAGTTTATCATAATATTTCTTTGCAAGTCTCTTCTCCCTAGATACATTAAAAAAAATGAGTATTTCACATTTAGGAATCTAACCATAGTTTGCTACTTGGAAGCAATGTTAAAACAAATAACACATAGATATAAAATAGTAATGTTTTAAAAGAGGTCTATTGCTTCCATGTGCACAGAATATCTGGATATTAATTACTGAAGTGGCTTTCTTGAGGAGTGAAAATTGATAAACTGACAACTGGAAATGATAAGGTGAATTACTCTTCCTTTTATTGGTATTAGAGAGTGAATCCAGGGGCACTCAACCACTGAACCACATTCCCAGCCCTATTTTGTATTTTATTTAAAGACAGGGTCTCACTGAGTTGTTTAGCACCTCACCACCTGCCTCAGCCTCCTGAGCCACTGGGATTACAGATGTGTGCCATGGCACCCAGCTACTCTTCATTTTTTACCCTGTAATGTTTGGATTTAAAAAACATTTTCAGGTATTATTTTTTCCCAAATCATTTAAAAAATTTTAAAAGAAGAACATAACAGCAAATTGCAAGATAACACATAATATCATAAAAAGTTATTTTTTTAAGACTAAGTCAAACAAGAAGAAGTCAGTTAAAACTGCCAAAACCACCAAAGGAACCAACTCAGATTCAAGAATGCTAAACATGGTTTTATGTCTTTGATTCAGAACGATCCTATGAAGAGGCTGAAAGCTTTGGATAAGTGACAGCTAAGAAAACAGAGAACAAGAAAGACAGGACTAAAACATTTGATGCACCATGACTCTGATGGCTAAAATTACCAAGTCATCTCCATTTCATCCTCTTCATTCCATAGGAATCTATGGTTTTCTCGTATAACATCCAAGTCTGTCTTATCATTTTCCCTGCAAAATAAAACAGTTTCAATTTACTATGCAAACAAAATTAGTCAAATTGAGGAGATTAAATAGTGTTGAAAAATTTCTGAAAATGTGAATAAATGTATACATAAAAATAGTTTTATGTGTGTATGTATATGTATATTTATAAAAACTATTTCAATATTTTTAAAAGGTACCTATGAAGAGTACTGCTATAGAATAAGTTAAATGGACAAAAGAATCCATCCATTCTACTAAAGTTTCAAATACACAAAGGGTGCTAAGTTACTAAAGTTAGCATGAGACGGAATAAACACTAAATAAGAAAAGGTGAATGAAAATAAGTTCTGGAATCTAACTAATCAGTAATACCACTCTATTGAGATCAAATTGTTTAAAAATATCAAGTTTTACCTCATGTCATTACCAGTTCCTAGGATGAGTTAGTAAGGATAGGATCTTTCAAATTTGGAATAGATGAAATAGTACTAACTCAGAAAAATTAAGTCACTGAGGGAAAAAAACCCATGGAAGGCAAAGAGGCTCTGACAGATGGGAAATTCTGTAGTGAGCTTTCTTGTTTTACCCTTCCTTTAAAAAGCAATTCTAAACACTAAGGTCTAAAATGTAATAGTTTCAAAAATCTTTGCCAATGACACATGAGTATTTCTCACATATACTGTTATGGCCAGGTGGTACGAGGCCTACTGCCAAGGAAATAGGATTCATGAAGAGCCCTTAGCTAGAAGGTGTGGATGGCCTCTCCATCTTATATCAAGGAAACTGGAACAGAAAGCAGGGAAAGAATGATAAAATCAGAAGACACAATAGCTGTGGGTATTTGAAGTCATCCATACTTCCCCTCCCATTCTATGATACTTACCCTAAACGCCTGAAGTCTTCCCTTTTGCCACCATAGTATAAAATATAGTCATTTACAAACTTTGTATGCCTTTGATACTGAAATTTAAAAATATTAAGGATTTTATTCACATAGAACTCATTCTGTGTCATATTACTAGGTGAAAAAAAGCATAGTTATAAGTCTATTTATCCTCCAAATGTATGCAAGTATGTACGATATGTGCTCGCTCACACATTCAAAGAACACAAGAGGGTACATAATGAAAGTGACGACTAAATTAGAAGAGCTTTTACTTTCTACTGGATACTTTTCCAAGCATATATTACGTATAATGTAATGTTTGGAATATTTTTCAAGTACATATTACTCTGTGATAAAACACATCACCATCGGGGAGAAAGAGAGCTTCCTACTGCGGGACTGCCAGCAACCCAATACCACCAATCACTCTAATAATCATAATATAAAAATGAATAATTTATGCCTTCTAAAATTAAAGGTAAGAAGCAGAATTTATCTTTCATTACAAAATATACTTCAGTTATGTTAGTAATGATAAAACCTTTAAAAGAAGACTTAACTTCTATAATACTAAGTGCTAATATAAAGCTTTTTTAAAATTAAATATAAGAAATCAGATATTACTTTTTATACTTTCTCTTAATATTTAAAGAATCCATGCAACTATGTGTATTTTCAGCATAGTATAGAGATAAAATGAGCATTACTTTTTGTTTTAAAAAAGCTCAGCAGCACTCCCTCTAGAACCAGCAGAGTTGGCTTTGCCTTCTGTAATACTATGTGTGACTACATCCTATTATATTAAAGATATATAGTAATTTAATTGATCACAATGTGTTTTTTTTTAATATTTCTTGTAGTTGTAGATGGACAGAATGCCTTTATTTTATTTGTTTCTTTTTATGTGATGCTGAGGGTCGAACCCAGTGCTTCATGCATGATAGGCAAGCGCCCAACCACTGAGCTACAGTCCCATCCCCAATCACGATGTGTTTTAATAAAAAACAATCAGAATGAAACTTCCAAAACTGATAACAAGGCAGCTGATGTTTCTAAGAAAGAGGAAAGAGAGAGAGAGAGAAAGGGAATGAGAGCAAGCCAGATAGATATCTGGAGATCGCAGTTCTAGCTCTTGAACTATCCTAACTGCTCCTGTAACTATGTTAAGACACTTAAATACCATTAGAGCTGGAATCACCAAACTTTTTCTGTAAAAAGCTAGATGGTAAATACTGCAGGCACTGTAAGTCATTTGGTCTCTGTTGTAAATACTCAGCTCTGCCATTCTAGCAGAAAGGCAATCATAGACAACATATAAATGAATAAGCAAGGCTATGTTCCAATACAATTTTTTTATGTTCAAAAACAGGTGGTGGGTAAGACTTTTGCTTTGGGGAAGATGAAACAGACAGAGATATATTTTTTCATATTCCTCACACTAACAACAACTAAAAATCTGGAATATTATAAAACAAATATAGTAAGACTCTGAAAGTTGGAGAGAAGAAGGTACATCAAGTAGGGACCTCAGGTTGTATGTTTCCTGGGTTTTCATTCAGTCTCACATCCCCCAGATTTGGAAGTAAAGCTGGCACCCTAGAAACAACCATTAGACAAAGACTAAATAGCCTCGGGCTGGGGATGTGGCTCAAGCGGTAGCACGCTCACCTGGCATGCGTGCGGCCAGGGTTCAATCCTCAGCACCACATACACACAAAGATGTTGTGTCCGCCAATAACTAAAAAATAAATATTAAAATTCTCTCTCTCTCTCTCTCTCTCTCTCTCTCTCTCTCCTTAAAAAAAAAAAAAAAAGACTAAATAGCCTCAACAAAAGCTGTCTTCTCTTACCAAACAACTGAGAGTCAGCCTAGTGAGACCGATAAATTTTTGGATAATAACTACTCCAACAATAACAACAACAACAACAACAACAAAAAAAAAACAACAGAAAAATCTATGGTCCCCCTTCAACCTCTTCCAGAAAAGGAATGCCTACACTTTCACTTTCACATGCTAAGTGCCCCAGCACCTTGACAGTGTTAGAGAAGACAGACAAATGTTCAAATGCTAATGGAACAAGTAGCCAACGAGATTCATGGGAACACCAAGCTATTTGGTTAGGAGGTAAAAGGAATAAATAAATAAGGGTCAAATGGAATTTCCATAACTTAAAGAAGAATCAGAATGATAACAAAGTGAAAACGATGACTATAGGTAAGGGGTGTATTAAAGTGATATTATATTGCCTTGTTCTTCCAATCCTGACCTTAGCAATAAATATGCAGAAATACTTCAGATCTTGCTTGGTCTCCCTTTCATTCTCCAATATTCCCTGCAGTAATATGGATAGCCAGGTACTGTAAGGAGCCACAGTCTTATTTTAAAAATTGAGTTGAAACATACTACAAAAGGAAGCAAGTTAACAGCTTATCAATAGCCTCCAGTCACATTTGAGAATTATAGCTACAGCAGGCCTGGGGACAGTCTACAAACGATCTAATTTTAAATACAAGTTCTGCAGTGAACTTAGATAGCCAAGAACCAGGTAGGAAGAGAATAAATTAAAATGAGACTAAAGATAAGGAAGTGTAGAAAAGGGAATTTAAAAATTTGACAAAATCAAGTTGGAAAAAATATCTGCAGGTTCATGGACTTTATAAGCCTATATATAGAATGATAGTAATACATTTCACTGTTTTTGTCTCTAAGTATTTCCTGTTAGGAAAAAAGAATTATACCCAAAAGTATAAGTGGCAAAATTCTACATCAATAAACGCTTCACCCTAAACATAAAAAGGCCTATTTAACTTCACAAAATTTGATGAAACAAAAATAACAAAGCAGATTTTAAAATATTCTACTAGTTATAAAAATCTAGAAATTTAAAAAGGATACAGCATCCATAGCTATGAGATGAAATCTTCTGTTTCTTGCTTCTTCCCTGTTAAAGAAATTTTTATTTTAAGCAAATTCAAATGTCTGTATATCCTAACTAATATAATCCAAGCCCTTAGTCCAAGTTTATAAAACATCTTAGAACAAAGAATGTAATTTACTTTGAAATACCATACCTATCCAGCAATTCTGCTGCAACTTGTTTATGAGCCACCTTTCCATGTTTTTCTTTCTGAAATGGCTTTTTGAGCAGTAAATCATCTTCGGTTGCCCTGGTGTATTAATTAAAAAAAAAATATTAAGAGCTAATTTTCCTTAGAGTATTTCCTAATATTTTTATATTTTCATAATTAAACATATTTTAAAGAGCTCAAGTTGTTTTTTGTGTGTGTGCTGGTGGTGCTGGATATCAAACCCATGGCCTTATACATGCTAAGCAAGCACTTCACCAACAAGCCACAGTCCTGGCCCCAGAAGTCAAGTCAACTTAAAAAAGACACACTGATGTTTAATGAGACATTTTACATCTCCTTAACCTTAATATATTTTTTTTTTGTACCAGGGATTGAATCCAGGGGCACTTAGTCACTGAGCCACATCCCCAACACTTTTTTAAATTTTATTTAAAGACAGGGTCTTGCTGAGTTGCTTAGGGCCTTGCTAAATTGCTGAGGCTGGCTTTGAACTTGCAATTCTCCTGCCTCAGCCTCCTGAGCTGCTGGGATTACAGGTGTGCACCACCGTACCTAGCTACCACCTTAATCTTATTATAGTTAAGTTTCTTAATTTCTCTGTAAAGCAGTGATAAGGAAGTTTTTGGTAATACATAATATGGAAAAAGAGAGGCTGATTATAGAGGCTATAGACCACAGATGATCAGACCTAGTCATATAGATAAATATAACCCTAGAGCACAGTATCCAACTAGATTTGCTCAAATTCTATTCTTATGAAGTAATATTTTAAAAAGAAAATATAAAGCATGATAAAATGTAATTTATTATAATTATTACTATTTGTTGGTTAAACATGAAGATTGAGTATCTTATAAAAATGTTCAGTACCAGTTTTACCTACTACACTGTTTTCATAGAATAATAAACTGATTTCTATAGGTTCAGTTAGTACGAGTTAGTCAGCCACTCCTGAGTTAATGGATAAAACTGAGTTTCTAAACACTGAAAGTTGATAACAATGCCCCTAAATGATGCCCATGCCTATGTGCTGTGTGTTCTTTCAATTCAATAAAACCTGCCATGAGCTTCTTCCATTGACACGCTCATTCATGTAAACAAAAGAACCCTCCCATAATCATAATACTTTTCTGCACACTATCTTCATTTTGATGGCAAGTACTAGCAAGAGAGAACCAACCAACCCCTCTGTGCTATGACGTTTGCAAGTATAGTCTTTAACAGTTGAAAACTACATGCAACAGAGAAATCTGAAACCTTTCATTTTCCCCCCTTCCATTTCAATAACCTCCTTACAGTACAGACTTTTTATTTTTCCCCAAACTGTTCTCCAATTTTGAATCAATTTATTGTAGCTTAGTGAATAAAAATTCATTCACTAAGCAGTTGGCTTCATATGTAAGCATGATCCCAAACCTAATATTATGTATACCTCATAGCAACTTAGAAAGGATGTAAAATACTGATCAATAAAAAAATTACCTTTTTTTCTTCTTACTAGATTCTCCGCCATGTTCATCATCACTAAAATCAGAGTCATAGCCTCCATGCCCATGCATCTGCAGAAGAATATAAAGTCAGTTACTTAGAACCTAAGTTTCCAATTGTTCAGGAAATAAGACAGTTAAAAGAAAAATCAGAGATCTTAACTACAATAGTTTTAAAAGATCATGGTATGCCCACTGTTCATGGGCTCTCCAGCCATGTAAAATTTGGATTCATTTTGAAATAATAAACTTACCCTTCAGAAAAATGCATCAATATTTTTCACCTTTAATTGACATTAGGAGAACAAGGGAAGTTACTCTTTGGCTTTTCCATTAAAAACCAGGCCCAGAAACTGCAAGGGGACTGAGTCACTTTTATTTAACTCATGATTAACGGTTATTGTGTACAATCATGCACCCACAGCAGATCACATATGACAACAGTCTCATAAGATTATAAGGGTTGAAAAATTCCTCTTATCAAGTATTTTTACTGTACTTTTTCTATGTTTACATGTTTAGGTACATAAATACCAGCAAAATATAACAGCTTACAATATTAAACACTATATAAGTTTGTAGCCTAGAAACAATAGGTTATATCATTATAGCCTAGGTATGCTAGTATACTACCATGTTCACACAATGATAAAACTGCCCAACAATTCATTTATCAGAATGCTCTTCTAAAATAATGTAACACTGCCTTTGTCCCAGACACTTTATAAAAATGACTGTGATTCTTCAACTATTAGAAACTATTCTCCATTTCAGGGATGAAAAAAAAAATCTAAGACAAAGTTAAATAAATTAATTTTACAACACAAATAAGTGGTTAAGCTGATTTACTTGATTTTCAAGCTCACAATTTCAAATATTCCAAATTGTATCACTGGAATAAGGTTAGAATTACTGTATTTGTGAATGGTACACTATCAGTTGATGAAAATTTTATTGTTTTTTTTTCAACATATGTAGAGATTTCCATTTTAAGTTTCTTCAAGTAGAACTACCTTACCCTTTAGCTTAGTTTTGTTTCCATTCATTTTTAAATTGACATTCTTAGAAATGCTGAAAGACCTCAGTTCTCATGGAAGAAGACAATTGCACTGGAAGAAGCTTCTGCTTCCAGAATCATGTTTGGGACTCACATTAATGGTGGATGGATGGATTATTTGACAATTTGATATCATAAGTATTCAACTCATGGCTTAAAGTAACCAGTCTAGGTCAGAAGACTCCAATTTTTTGAAACTTTAATATTCATGACAGCAAGAACAGCAGAAAAAAAGAGGAAACAACTCCCTGAACTTCATTATATTGGATCTGCAACAGAAGACGTTTCTAAGTTTAACTATTATAAGTAATTCATTTCATCTCTTTGGGCTTCATCTATTAAATAAGGTATCTACGTCAAATAATCATTAAATTCTATAAGTCAATGATCTTTCTGTAATTCTATTTTCAAACTTAGGTCAATGATCTTTCTGTAATTCTATTTTCAAACTTAGATGTGCAAGTGTATACTTCTCTTCCCTACCCTGCAGAACTCTATAGAGTAGGAGACCCCAGACAAGATTGGAAATGGTGGTCAGAAGACCAGTTTCAACCCTACCCTGCCTTCACACCTGGATTGCATACCCTTTACATCAACTTCTAGTTCCTGCCATCTTACTATATATATCTGTTCAAGCTACACCACCCTTTTACTCCTAGTCCTATATCCTCACTTTCTTCATATCTTGATGGCAAAAAACCACAGTGTGGAGCCAGGAAATGTGTTCTAAAACCGGCCTGCCATAATTCAAAGACTCGCTCTACATTTTTCATTTGGCTTTCTCTGGACATGTTCCTTAACTTCTCTAAGCCTCCGTTTCACCATTTGTAAAATAAGACTAATTGAGAGCACCAACTTCAAAAAACTAAATGAATTACCACATCTAAAGGGTTTCAGAACAGTGTCTAGTACCATAAACCCTGTAAACGTTAACTTGAATATCATCATCTTGTTCCCTCATCCCTCATACCACCTCCTACCTGGCTCCCACTCTCCCATTTCTTTTTCCTCTGACCGCTTCATCGGCCCCATACGCACCTTAACTCAGAGGTTGCACTAAAAAGCTCTCACTCACATCAGTTTACGAATAAACTGAGAGAAGGGCCGAGAAAATGGAGAACGGAGACGTCGAATGTCTCCAGAATCTGTCATCAAAAGAAAAAAAAAAAAAGCAATCAACTATTACGAGGAACAAGTTTCAAGTCCTTCTCTCCACACCACATATATCACGTCCCTCCAGACACACCCCTTTCCTGGCGTTCCTCGCTGCTCTTCCAAGCTCTTCCCGTGAGTCGTGGCAGTTGCTGCTACCGCCCGGTACTGAGCAACCGCTGCAGGACCGACACGGTACGCTCTGATCAGAGATTTGCCACAACAGCCACAGTCGCTGCCGCGGCCAGCTTCCCACCTCCCTACGGATCCCGACGGGGAGCCACTTCCGCTCCGACTCGGACATGTGTCACACCTAAAAGGCACCGGCTCCGGGCGCGCCGACCTCGTGCTACAGCCAGAGCAGCTCCGGGAAACAACAGCGTAAGGAGAAAAGGCCCGGAAGGGGAAGCAGAAACTGCTTTCGCCACGTCGCAGCTCCTTGTATTTTCCTGGGCCTCCTTCTTTTCCCCTCTAGGGAATCCAACATGTAGTACCGTGTGGCCCTGCCTGCAGCTCAGCCCACGCCCGTCATTTGCAAATATATTTCATTTTAGAAAAAAACCATGGCTGCTTATCATCTGCCGTCCTCTCTCTAGTAACCTTAGTTACGCCTCCTCGGAGCATCCTCGCCCTGATCTCAGCCTCAGATCAGCCTCTCCCTTTCCCCTCTCCCCTCTGCAAAACAGTTCTCATAATTAGAACAAAAATAACTTTCCATCGTTTCACCACCCACACAATAGGTTCTGTTCCAAATGCAGTGCTGGTGGCAGAAGAACTCATCTAATTTGCCAGGGAAGAAAGAATAGAGAGGAGGAGAGATTTCACGGGGTCGTGGATTCTCTGCCAACAAGCGACCTGGCACATGTGAAAAGGGATCCAAAATAGAATCTTGGAAGAGAGAAGGGGGAAAAAACCACCCTCAGGCAGGAAAAATTAAAGTTAAATTATTTTAAGTGCCACCAAGTTCTTCCTGCGTCGTGCCTTTCTACATGATGACGCCCTACTCTGCTTTTCACTCCAGTTCATGGGTTTAGGTCTCCCTCTGGCATCAGCCTTTATTCATCTTTGCTTCTTCCTCAGTAACCAACACCGTGCCTTGGAAATCACAGGCGCTAATTAAATATTTGTTGAATTGATTTGGCATGCTTCTGGCTTTTGCAGCGAGCCCTTTTTAGAAAAAAAAATCCTTGGCACTCGGTGCACATTCATTTTACATTTTTTGCCCAAAACAGTAGATAAAAATATCCTTATCAGTTCGAGGCTCCTTCTACCCCCGACAGTAAATTATAGATTCATCCTGCTTTGCCCAGTGTAGTGAATGTGATCTTGAAAAGCTGTAAGGTAAGTTAAATGATCGTAAATTCAATTATTTCAAAGTGTAATTGAATTATACTTCAGTAAAAACGCTTGCTCAAAAAAAAATTTAAAGTGATAGGAAGCCTCATAATTTAACATTACACTATATTGCAGTCCTATTCGATAACTATCTAAAAATATATACTTTGTTCTAAAATCTAACACATCTGTACCTTGTATCCAATTTCCTTTCTACTAGTATTTGGCATTTATAAGCATTTTTCTTCCATTCTTAGTATCTTCTTATCTTTTGCTTCATTTTACTCTTACAACAAATTGTGCTGCTCTTATTAGCATCCCCCCTCCTTTTTTTAAACACATGAGGAAGAGAGGCACAGAACCGAAAGCCACAAACCTGGTGAGATTTTATAACTATGCAGTACTTATCATTCTGCAAGATGGGGCTCCCCCTTCCCCCAACACATGGATTGTGTAGGCAGTAGCTTCTGGTTCCAACATTTCTAAGAATGTCATATTTTTTTTTTTTTGCTACCAGTCCATTCATGTAAAAATTCCGTTTTTCATTTTGAAGTAGCAGCTACTGAAAGAGAATAAATAGAAAATATATGTTATATGTGTTAAGTATAGATCACATGATCTGAATGAAAAACAGGTAGTACAATTCAGGCCTGGTGGCACATGCCTGTAAACCCAGTTACTCAGGAAGCTGAGGAAATAGGATTCCAAGTTCAAGGCCCAGGCTGGCAATGAATTTGGAATCCTACTGGGCAACTTAGGGAGACCCAATCTCAGAATAAAATAAGAAGGGCTGGGAGTGCAGCTCAGTGGTAGAAGGCTTGCCTGGCATGTATGAGGCCCTGGGTCCAATCACAGTACTAAAAAAAAAAATTAATAAAGGAAAGAAAACCTACCTGATCAGAAAATCTCAAATTAGCAATTATAGCTCAACAACAATAAAAACCACAAATATTTATTATATGTCTTTCTGAGCAAGATACTGTCCTTGTTGTCAGCGTTATAGATATATAAAAGCCAGTCCTTAAACTTGAAAATCTGCTACTAAGAAAGAAAGAAGACTATGGAGAATAATAGCAGCTATATATTCTGTCATATGCCCAGTGCCTACTAAATGTATGAACCTCTGGATCCCAATATGTAAAATGTGCTATTTCAATGAAAATGTAAATTGCATCAATCCTGTGTAATTCAAATAATGCAGCAAACACTATGGTAGGTGTGAGAGTTGAGGAGGGAAATTAGAGGATGATGGTGGTGATATTAAGTAATATTTCTAATATAAACTATGAATGTACATTCTGATAATACTTTATAACTTTGAGCAGATTTCAATTTTCCCAAATGGTCACACCAATATTTCCCATTAAGCATGCTCTTTTTATGACTTGACACTGATACTTCTCCATAGTAATTTGGCCCTTTGATTCCTGCCCTGAATCTGGCTAGATATGCTAGTGACTATAGTAGAAGTAATGCTAAGAATTCAGAGATAGTTACAAAAGATAGAGCTTCTACGTGGCTCTTTCTGTCTTTCTCCATTCCTTGCTCACATAGAGTGGAACAGAGATGAGCTGTCTCTACTGAGCCCTGTCCAGACTGCAGATTCATAAGGAAATTAAATGTTTTCCAGGCCACTAATTTTGAGGGTGGTTTGTTATATACCAATAGATAACCAGAACCATATTCTATCTCAATCCCAACAACATTTGATGAGACTTCAGCCTTACTGGGCTTGCTTGATTTTTTTCAATATGACTGCTTCTTCAAATTTACCATTCCCTCAATATGGAAAGTCCTCTCAGTCTGCCAAATCTGTTTTTATCCTGCAAACCTTAGCTTGGGTGAAGGAAAAATCTTTCATGACAAATTCTCGCACAGACTAGGTAGGATTACTATGAGATGCACACATTACTTTCTGTAACAATGAGCTGCATACATACACACTGATAATTTAATTGGTGTCTGTCTGCCTCAAAGATGTAAGCTCCTTGAGGTCGGGAGCATGCCTCTTTTTAAATCCTCAGTGTTCAGCACAGTGCCAGACACAAATGATTGTTCAAAATAGTCACTGAACAAATGAAGTAGGTACTTTCATTCCCCATATAGATGAAAAAAACAGATTTAGAAAAATTAACTATTCTAGAGTCATGAGCAAGTAAATGGGAACACAAATATAACTCCCTCTAAAACTCATGCTATTGACTATCATATATATTGCCTTCCAATAAGGTCCATGGCAATATTTGATATTTTAAAAAATTAGAAATCACTTTAATGGAGTAAAGTTACAGATAAGTTGAGACAGGAAGATCAGTAAGAGGTGGGAAAGGCTTTGTGGGGGGAAGTGGGGCTTAAGCTATGATTTAAATGTAGATCTTAAATAAGAGGAGAGGAGATAGTCAAGGTTATAGGGGCTCAGTAAAATATTAGAGGTAGAAATATCCATGGGGAAAAAAAAAGAAATATCCATGGGTTGTGCAGGGAGATATGAGACACCACTTCAGCCAGAGTAGAATTTTTGAAAAGGTGTAATGAAGGAAAGATCATCAAGTGAAGCTGGAGCCAGATTTGGGGTGTTCTTGAATTCTGGGCTATAATTTTTATCTAGAGACAGTGAAAAGTTGTAATAAATAAGGTGATGGTTTGAATGGGAAGAAATTTGGATTCAAATTTATATTAAAATTCTGATTCTGGTATTTACTAACTATGTTCCCATTTACTTAATTCACTTTTTAATCTTCTATAAAGTGAGAATAATGACTTCATAATATTAATGAATAAATGACTTCATAATATTATTGTGAAAATCGATTTAGATGTTGCATTTGAAGAGCTTAGCCTGGTTCCTGTATGTAGTAAATCTTAATAAATTTTCACTATTGTTTTAAAGAGGAGATGCTATATGCAGCATTTTAATAACATATTATCCTGTTGAGCATAATGGCATATTGCCTGTAACCCTGCTACTAGGGAGCCTGAGGCAAGAGGATCACAAGTTTGAGGTCATTTTGAATAACTTATTGAGACCCTGTCTAAAATAGCTAGGAAGAGAGCTCAATGGTCAAGTGCTTACGTAGCATGCACAAGATCCTGGATTCAATCTTCAGTACCATAAAAATGAATTAATAAAATAATAATAATATATTATCCTGCTAATCAAATGCAGGAAGGCAGAAATGGCTGCAGGCAGGAGAGGTAGAAGGGAGGTTTATCAGAACAGATAGCAGTCAGTGCTGGGAATACAAATGAAGAATTTAAGAGTGAGTTGAAGAAATAAATGGTAGAAGTTGTGACTCATTGGGCATGGGGGATGAAGGTTATGGAAGTGAAAGATGCTTCCAACGCTGAAGAGACTAAAAGAACATAGGGCCCTAATGAAAATGGAGGAAGTGACTTTGCCTTGGGAAATGGTAAGTTGCCTTTGGATGGAAATGAGAAGCTATAGCAAGACATGCAAACACTAAAATATATCTTCCATGCAAAATTATGATGTTTGCAAAATTATGATGTTAGGAATTCTTCACTGAGTCTTCATTTGCTCATCTTTTTGTGAGTCCCCATCCTCTCTATCCCTCTCTTTTCCAACATAGTGCTTTTGCTCCTCTCCCAATCAAAGCTGTTCTGACTTCAAAGTCAGCCAGATCCACATTGGATTTGGTTCCTGTCACTCACTAGCTAGGAGACCTTGGGCAAGTTATTTAATTCTCTGAGTTTAACTTCCTAATCTACAAAACAGGGTAATAATATAGTCTCTATATCATAAGGACTGATGAAATTTAAAATGAAATGATGTGGATGAGATGATTCCCAACTCACAGTAAGTATGCAACCAATGCTGTTTGAGGAAAGAAGCAGATTACAGCCATTCTTTCAGAAAATAAGTTCAACAGTCTCTCAAATGTGGTCCAGAAACAGATCCATATATACAAAGTCCCATAATTAATGGCATTGAGTGAAGCATAGTTTTTAAAATAAATAGTTCTGGGTTAATTGAATAATAGAGTAAGAAAATTAATCTTGATTTCTACCTCACACCATACATAAAAGTCAATTTCAAAGAAAATGAGAAAATATCTTCATTGATATTTCATGATATGTTTCTTAAAGCCAGAAAGTTTTTAATATAAGACATGCAAGGAGCTAACCATAAGAGAAAAATGATTTCTTCATTTGTTATTAATTTAATTAAGAACTTCTGTTTATGTACAATATTTTACTAAGAAAATGAAAAGTTAAGTCACAGAGTGGGAGAAAATGTCTG